CTCCTCCTCCTCCTCCTCCTCCTCCTCCTCCTTCTCTTTGTAAATACGTCACCGCCCCATACTCTTCCTCCGTTTCTCCTTTTTTATTTCTTTTTTTAAATCCCTTTTATTTAAGCCCTTAGTGACCTGTTCTGTGAATTGAGAAGGGCTTACTTTTTGCGTGCTGTATTCAGGCGTCGAAATAAGTGTAGCCAATTTGTTGTTGTTGCCCGACGACGTTGAAAAGGAATTAAACCCTTAGAGGTTTGTAGCTTAGACAAGTTGCTGAGCGGAAAACTATCTTCAGTTTTGAAGATTGTTAGAATTCTTTCTATGGAGCATGACAGGGCCTGGATTATTTAGCGTTGAACAGTAAACTTATGCAGTTGCTTGTCGAACGTACGAAATATGTGTGAACTAACGAAAAATCTCTAAGCTATCGGAAACTACTCCAAGTCCAATTCATCAAGGCGGCAAACTGAGTTCTCAAAAAAAGATTTGTTGCACTTATTCTTTGGTTAGCAATAAAACTTTTCTTAAGACAAAAACCGAGAGCCAAAGACGCGAACTACTTCTTGTCAAACGGTTAAACCCTATTTTTAGAGTTGCAAAAATTTGCATCAAGAAATTCAGAGGACTATTTGGCGAGCATTCATGGGCTTTCGATAAATTCTCATGGGACCATTACATTTTTAGAAGTACATAAAACTTTGCATGCAAATCAAAACGGCGGCTGTTTTTTGGGTGAAAATCGGGCTTGTTGGCATAATGCTCAATCTGAATTTTCCGGAATAAAAACTCAATTTGCAAGTTGTTGTGGCCAAAGTTTTCCGTTCGAGTACTGCGCTCAAACAGACGCACAACATGGTCTAGAACAGAAAATTGCTCGAATATCAAAAGCAGCGTCGTCTTAAGCTGAAGTTTGTATACCTGAATTGAGGCAAATGTTCGCGTCCGAGCTATGTGTATAGATCGAGAAGAAGAAGAAGAAGCAGCGTCAATCACCAGAATCAACGTTTTATTAATTTAAGCTTCCGGACTCTTGCGGGAGTCCATCGTCGGACATAAAATCGTCAACGAAATACAATACAATCCTATCTGCGCATGTCTCACACTATTCTTCTTTTGAGACATGCGCAGATAAGGGGTCTGCGCATGTCTCAGACCTGTTTACGATAGCTATGACTAAGGATTCCCGACGGAATCCGAAACGTCAGGACAATAAAACTCATGTTCCAGTGGGATTAAGGATTCCCGAGGGAATCCGAAACTTCAGGACAATAAACCTCTTGTTTCAGA